AAGCCCATTATCTGTAATTAGTGCATGAGGGAGGCCGAACCGTGTAATGATGTTTTTCCAAGTGAATTTCTGGACGTTGTTGGCCGTGATGGTGGCTAGGGGTTCGGCCTCAATCCATTTGGTGAAATAGTCCACGGCGACGAGGAGAAATTTACATTGCCCTTTTGCTAAAGGGAAAGGACCGAGGAGGTCTATTCCCCAAATAGCGAAGGGCCAGGGAGAGCTAATGTGGCGAAGAGTATCGGCGTGTTGGTGCAGGTGAGGACCGTGTTGTTGACAGGGAATGCATTCTTTTACAAATAAATGACAATCTTGAGTTATCGTTGGCCAGTAGTATCCGGCTCTGAGTACTTTCGCTGCCATAGTTCGTCCGCCCGAATGGGTTCCACAAATACCTTCATGGATTTCTCTCATGACGTAGTTAGCTTGATCGTCGTCTAGGCATTTAAGCATGGGGGTTGAAATTCCTTTTCAATACAATTCTTTACCGAGAAGAAGGTATTTGGCTGCATGTGCTTTTATTTTTTTAGCTGAAGCTGTATCCTCTGGTAAGCTGCCATCAGTGAGGTACCGGATGAGAGGGGTCATCCAATTATGAGATGAATTTTCTATGTCCATGCATTCTTGTTTGGCGACACTAGGTTGGGTGATTTGTTGGTGAACCACGCTCTGCAACTGCCCTGGTTTCCGTTGGCTAGCCAGCTTAGCTAGCCTGTCGGCTCGTGCGTTCATGTTTCTTGGTGTGTATCGAATACATACCTCCTCAAACTCGGCTTTTATTTTCTTGAATTCCTCGTAATATTTAAGCATGACCGAGTCCCTGATCTGATAGGTATCGTTAACTTGTTCGGTTACAATTTTTGAATCACTCCAAGCAGTAATGCGTTTAACCCCCATCTCCTTTGCTAGCTGAGACCGGCGAGTAAAGCTTCATATTCGGCTTGATTGTTGAATGCCTTAAATCCAAACCGGATAGACTGTTCAATGGCGAATGCATTCGGTCCTTCAAGAATGACCCCCGCTCCACTGCCTAATTGATTTGATGATCCATCAACGTGCAAATTCCACATGTCTGGAGTGGTATTATGTTGTGTAGTGAACTCATTGATGAAGTCGGCTAACACTTGGGCTTTAAAGGGGCGTCGGTTCTCGAAATGGATATCAAATTGAGATAATTCAATTGTCCATGCCACCAACCGGCCAGCCAACTCTGGTTTCCTCAAAATTTTGGCCATCGGACAATCTGTACGTACCACCATCTGATGGCTCTGAAAGTAGTGTCTTAACCGACGAGCTGTGTGGACTAAGGCAAGTACCACTTTCTCCATTAATTGATACCGGGATTCAGGACCTTGGAGTGTCCTGCTAACGAAATATACGGGGTTCGGTTCAGGTGTTTCTTGAAGTAAAACCGAACTGATGGCGTGATCGGACATAGCCAAATAAACAATCATTTCCTGATTTGGTGTTGTTTTAATCAACACAGGTGGCGCTGCCAGCACATGTTTGTATTGTACAAAGGCGTCCTCACATTCATTGGACCAAGCGAATTTTTGAGATTTCTTCAACAATTCAATGAAAGGCCGAGACCTTTCTGCCATTATTGGCAAGAATCTAGCAAGGGCTGCAATCCGCCCGGCCAGTCGTTGCACGTCCTTGACAATGCGAGGGCTGGCCATGTCGATGATGGCTCTACATTTGTCGGGGTTTGCCTCAATCCCCCTTTCAGACAACATGAAACCCAAGAATTTACCGCCAGCTACACCAAATGTACATTTTTCAGGATTGAACCTCATTCCATGCTTTCTGGCTTCTCCAAATACCTCCTCTAAGTGGTCAAGATGTTGCTTCAATGCGAGGGATTTAATTACCATGTCGTCTACATACACCTCCATGCATTTACCCACTTGTTTTTCAAAAATTTTGTTCATGAGTCGCTGGTATGTTGCTCCTGCATTCTTCAAACCAAACGGCATCACTCGATAACAAAAATTTGCAGAATTTGTGATGAATGTTGTTTTTTCCTCATCCGAGGGATACATTCGTATTTGATTATACCCAGAATAAGCATCCAAAAAGCTCAGTATTTTGTGACCGGCTGCACCATCGACCAAGGTATCAATGTTTGGTAGGGGGTATGCGTCTTTTGGGCATGCTTTATTGAGGTCCGTGAAGTCCATGCACATTCGCCATTTGCCGTTGGCTTTTTTAACCATGACGATGTTGGCTAACCATGTTGAATACCTGACTTCTCAGATAAAGCCAGCCTGTATTAGTTTTCTGGTTTCTTCTTTTACTGCCTTTGCTCTATCACCACCAATTTTTCTCTTCTTTTGAGCTACCGGTTTGGCCCCTTTGTAGACCGATAAGTGGTGACACAGAAATGCTGGATCAATGCCAGGCATATCCGAGGCTGTCCAAGCAAACAAATCGGCGTTATCTAATAGCATCCTTTGGAGGATTTGCTTTTCTTGTACATTCAAACAGATCCCTAAATACGCAACTTGTTCTGGCTTTGCTCCTAGTTGGAAGGGTTGTTTGTTTTCATTGGGCTCGACTCGATATTCCTCATCCACTCTAGGATCGAGTTCAACATCCAACTCTTCTCCCAACCGAGGGGATACAATATTGACATCTCGGTTATTCCCATGAAAGGGCTTAAGGCGTAAACTTGCAAAGTAGCATTCCCTGGCTATTTTTTTATCAGCATGGACGGTAACAATTCGGCCTTTTTCAGATGGAAATTTCATGGCCAAGTGTGGAGTGGACACTATGGCCTTCAATTTGTTCAGGGATGGTCTGCCGAGTAGTATATTATAAGATGTGTTCGCATGTACTACAAGATAAGTGACTCTTATGTGTTTTCCCTCATGCTCTGATCCAAACGAGGTATACAAGTCAATACACCCCTTGGTCTCTACTCGTTCCCCAGAAAAACCGACCAACGATTCGTGATATTCTTTGAGCTCTTGTTCTGAGATGCCTAATTACTTGAATGTATTCCAGTATAGGATATCGGTCGAGCTCCCTTGGTCAATTAGTGTTTTTCGAACAGTGCAGTTAAGAATGTCTACACTAATTACCATGGGATCATCCTGCACCGGATCGACTCCTTGAAAGTCGTCGTCAGTGAACGTAATAGGCGGGATCCAGATTTTGCTGCCTAATGAAACATTATTAACCGAACGGACATGTCGAAGATGCCTCTTTCTAGCCGAATGGGTAGGTCCTCCACCAGCAAACCCTCCGGCTATGGTGTTAATGACCCTTTTCGGATACTTCTCTTGTTCAAATCTTCTAGCTGGGGGTTCTCTGGACCTGCTCCTGTGTGGTTCAAATTTTTTGTCGTCAGATCTCTTTGGTGATTCAGGGTGACGGTCTCTTCCTTTGTTAGGTTGCTTTATGGGATCTGTCTGTACAAAATCTTTTAAGTATCCACCTTTAATTAATTCTTCAATTTTGTCTCTCAGTGCTATACACTCCTCGGTAGTGTGACCCCTGTTCTGATGGTATCGGCAAGACTTACTTTTATCTTCCCGAGGAGAAGTGTTGGCACGTCTAGGCATTCTCAATATTTCTGTGGCCAACGCTTGATCAAGTACTCTGGACCGATTAGTGTTGAGCGTTGTGTAGGAAGGATACTTAGGTCCTCGAGGTGGTCGTTCAAGTTCATTTCTTCTGTCGTTTCCCTGCCTTGCTTTAAAAGTCTCCCTCCTTTCTGTATTTTTTGCGTTAGATCCTTGATCCATCTGTACCTGGTTCCGGTATTCAGATAATTCTTCCATCTGCATATACTTCGTAGCCCGACTCCTTAACTCGTCTAGGTCAATTAGGGGTTTTTTACAGAGGCTATTAACGAAGGGTCTTGGCTTCAACGCTGTTGTGAGGTGGTGCATAGCCACTGCTGGTTCCAAGTTATGAATTGAAAGAGTCACTTTGCCAAAGCGTTCCATGAACGCTCTAAGTGATTCTCCTTTCTCTTGGCGAATATTGACTAGGGCCAAGGATGTTAAAGGATGAGGTCGGCTTGTGGCAAACTGCAAGTTGAAATGTCTTGTGAGAGTTGCAAAAGAGTCGATGGAGAAAGGGGGGAGTCGGGTGAACCAACTGAGTGCAGGTCCTCGGAGTGAAGTAGGAAAAATTCTACACCATAAGGCGTCGTTTTCTGTGTACAGACCGACCTGTGTTGTAAAGACATCCACGTGTTCTTCGGGGTCAGATGTGCCATCGTATTTGTCTATTGCCAACCCTCTCTAATTATTGGGCAGCTTAGCTTCCAGAATGTGGTGAATGAACGGGCTCCGGTTCACAAGATCGTCCCGGTCATTTCTGGCTACCGATTGATATACCTGTCTTAATTTCTCTTGCAGCGCTGAAGATTCCCCTTGATCTTGGATGACGGGTGTAGTTAGGGAGGGGACATGTGTCCTTATCTCTTCCCTTAGGCTGGCATTTTCCCTTCTTAGGGCTGAGAGTTCCAGTGCATCTCTTTCGCGCTCCTTCTTCATCTCCATCATTTCTGCCTTAAGCTGCCTCAGTACAGCTAGAATGCTTTCCTCTGTTCCTCCCTGCAACACCACTTCAGGTACTGGTTCCTCTGGTGTGACGCCCTCCATTTGTTGCCTAGAGGTTCCTTCCTGCTGGCTTCTCGTCATTACCATGCTTAATCCTGAAAAATGAAGTTAATCGGGCCCTACGGTGGGCGCCAAAATATTCCTGCTTGAGAAACGACTGTCTTCAAACCTCTGATCAGGCGTCCTTCTGACGATTGCTGATATGGAGGGTACCTGCAAAAGGCACTTCGATGGTAAAGTCAAGATTCGGTTCTGAGCAATAAATGTTATTTAATGATGAGAAGTCAACCTCTTACCTGTATTTCCTACCTTCCTTTTATAGGCATTCTATTGGGCTGATGGGCCTGAGTCAGCCTTTATACTGTGGCCCATTTTCCTGGTTTAAATAATACTTTGATTATTACCCTTAATTGGATTATTTACCTTTTAATCCTGACGAGGGGTACCCGGTCTAGTATGCCGAATAGGTACTCGGTTTCCTTTTCCTATAGGTGGGACTGAGTTGATTCCTTTTCCAGTACAGCTAGTTTGTGACAAGAGTCATACTCACACTTGAGCTTGTTGTAACGTTTGTCTTCAACCACCCGTTCAAAGTGTTCAAAGAATTACTTGATGTCAACACCAGGGTTCATACATGCCTTGAAGTCAGAATTTAAACTTTCACTTAACTGAGTGCTATGCATTCCAAGGGTTAAATAATCCTTGAGATAACATGATGCCCATTTCTCCTTTATAGCATACAGTGAAGTAATCCAAGTATGTTCTTGAACATTGTATTCTGTAATCAACCTTATCCAAGCCTTCTCAAAGTCATATATGCATCGTTTCAAATCTCTTAATAAATGACTCCCTCCTTTCATCAAATTCCCCAAATGCTTTATTCCATTTTGTATTACGTGCCACGTACATAAAGCATGACGTGTCTCAGGCATTACTTGGACAAGTGCCTTTGCCATTGCTTGGTCTTGGTCTGTAAAAAAAGTTTGAGGTTTTTTTGTTGTTGTGTGCTTCCAAGAATGTCTCGAACAACCATTGAAATGATTCCGCTGTTTCATCATACAATAAGGCTGCTCCAAAGATAACAATGCCTCTGTAATGGTTAAAACTGGAAAACAATGCTAGAGGTTTATTAGCTCGATTGGTGCAATATGTAGTGTCTAGTGATACAACTTCACCAAAAAACCCATAATCAATTACCATCTTTGCAACCGCCCAAAAAACATTTGTGATTTGCTCCTCTGCATCCATTTGGTACGCATGAAAAAAAGATGGGTTGTCTAGTAATTGTTGCTGAAAATATTGCATTCGACAACCGACTTCTCCGTATACCATTTCCCTTTGTCTCTTTGCCTTCAAGTAATTTTTTGCGTCTAGGCGAGTATACCCAACATTAGCTTGGTGTCCGACAAGTGTGCTCATTAGTTGAAGTGACGCCTTTTGTCGCAATCTGGATGCCTCAAGCATGTGTGTTGTTTCTGGCAATTGTAACGGGTGATTATGCTTTTCAACAAACTGATGAATGAAATATTTATTATTGTTTGCCAAAGACAATGCTATTCTTGTAGTGGATCCCTTTTATCTTCTTTTCGATGCCCCTCTTTGCAACAAACATATCTGCAACCCGTAATGACACCATCTCTCTTTCGCTTGTTAAAGTATTGTTTCCTCACTCCAAATCCTGTTAGCCTTCCATATTCACACCAAAATTTCCATACTTGTTCAAGACTCTCAAACTCTAATCCGACACTTGGTTTCGTTGGGACATCCATCTTTGTGACTATCTCTATACTCCAATAACATAATAATAAAGATGAGCTATATTCATTTTTGTAATCATATGCATTAAAAACATTATGGAGTAAAGGTGTACCTTATTTACGCCTTATCTCTTTGAAAATGATATTTGTCAAAAAGTTTCCCAAAATGGCGAGCAAATGATATGAACTTGTCAAAAAAACCCCTCACCATTGAACTTCCTTTATCAAAGCTTCTAAGAATATCATCTACTCAGTGTTTCATCATTTTCAACATTAAGGAAAGCCTCTTTCTTAAGAAATACGTCAATACACTATATTTGGCGCCAATTTTTCTACAAAACTCGCTTAAGCCTTCCACATTCGCTTAAGCGAGACTTCGCTAAGTAATTCGCTTAAGTGAGACTTATCGCTTAAGTGAATTCTCGCTTAAGCGAAATATCCGCTTAAGCGAAATCTGCGACTATTGGTTTTGCATAAGATTGAATCTCCTCCTTTCCTTTCATTTTTGCACTTTAACTCTCTGCTACTCGCTTAAGCTGAGCAAACCTCTGTCTTGTATTCCACAGCTTCAAAGCCTTCAGAAAATTGTTTCCTCAGGTACAAACCTAAACCCTAAACCATTGTATCTCTCCTATTACTCTGTTTCATTTACATTTCTTCCATTGCATTATGGGGTCTTCCCCTTCGTGTTATTTGTGAACTTTTGCATGGGTTTATAACCTCTGTTTCATTTATATTATAAGAGATGCATTTTTTAACTTTTATTTTGATGTTGGGCTAATTGAAAATATTTTTGCTAGATAAAATGTCACTTTGACCTTACCTTGATGTCTGTCTGTATTTTTTGCTTAAGCAAAAATGAGTCGCTTAAGCGAATAAATGTGAATGAGAAAACAAAGGGTGACATAATTTCGCTTAAGCGAGACTACAGGCTTAAGCGGGTTTTACTGAAATTTCTGTTCTGGTTTCGATTGCAGGATGGCACCAAAAAAATCCATTCTTCAAAGAAAGAGGCAGACACCAAAAGTTGGCCAAACTTCACAACAACATGATGAACCTATTGATCAACATGAACATTCGTCACCTCAAACTCAAACACAAACACAAACAGAAGTCATATCATGGGATAGATATAGGTTCAAAACCAGGGCCAAGGATCAAAGATTTCTTGACTTACAGGCTAGGGAATTGCTACCTGAGAGAAAGATAGCTTTACAAGAAGGAGAGTATGAAGAATTTATGCAAGAGGTTAGGAGAAGAAAATGCGAATTCTTGGCAAATCTCCCCAACCAAATTAATGAGGTAATCGTCAAAGAGTTTTATGCAAATGCTTGGCCATTGATACCAAGAAGGTCAAAAAGAAGGTCTTGGGTTCGAAGGCACCCAGTTGCTTATGACAAAGATGCAATTTCAGCCTTGTTACGCAACCCTTTGACCTTGGAAGAAGGGAAGCTATGCCAATACCAGCAACGCCGAAAGTGATTCTCAGGTTTTTTGGATCATAGGGTAGCTGAGACCTTATGCATCCTTGGAAAATCATATGAAACAAATACTACTAGGAAGCCAATGAGGTTCAAAAGACAATCTCTGAATACTTTGGCTCAAATCTGGACATCATTTCTCTTTGCTAACATTGTCCCAACCACACACAACTCAGATCTTCGGATGCCTTGAGCATATCTCATATACAGTATCATGCAAGGGATATCCGTTGACATAATAGCAATCATTTCAGATGAGCTGCACCAATTTGTTATTTCCAATACCTCCTCTACTGCATCAGCAACAAAACCTTTGGGATTTCCAACACTCATCACTGCTTTATGTGCTTCCCAAAGCATTATCATTCTAGAGAGCGCCGCTCAAACTATCAGTTTGAAGAAACCAATCAATTCCCAGTTCATCAGAAATTATTGCACCAATCAATTAGAACAGCCTGCAGGACCTTCCTCTCAACCCTCCTCATCTGTACCACTTACATCATAACCAACACAACCATTCATGCCTGACATGCCACAAATGGATTCAAGTGTCCTATGTCATCTAACCCACATAGAGCAATAATTGGCAGCAACCAATCGCGCTTACACTCAGTTGAATGAGTCGTTCTACAAGTTAGTCCTTTTCTTATTTAATATTTTAATATATCTAATCAATTATGCAACCATGCCTGATTTTCTCTTTCCACAGGTTCACTCTACATCAACATCATGGTGAGCCATCTGCTTTTCCATGGCCAACACCAGAGCTTTTTGCAGCGACTGTATCGTGGCTTGGAGACAACCCTACCTTTTTAGCTCAAGAAAAAACTCCAGAAGATCATGTATCACATCCAGATGAAGGAGCCAATGAGGACATTGACGATCATCAAGAGGGAGATGTACAACAAAATCAAAACTTAGGGAAAGAATGGGACATGATGAGGGAGATAGGCCACAACCAATGCAAGAGGAGGACAATGTAGAAGACCCATGATTAGAATTAGGATTTTATTGTAATGGATATAAATGACTAAACATTTTCTGTTATGTAATAGACTTTATTTTTACTTTCCCAATGCTGAATTCTATACTTTTTCATTAATGGATTTTAATATTTGTTCACAATCATGCCAAAGTCATTATAAACTATTTTTGGTGGAAGATGTATGTTGAAGAACAAATGTAATCTAGTGTATTTATCCCCCTTGCATGCTGTCTGTTTTTGCAAATATTGATGCGTTGGAAAATTAAATTTTTGGCTCAAGCCCTGCTACCATTTGCTTAAGCCAATTAATCTTCGCTTAAGCCATTTTGTTGCATGTTGCTGTGTCTACATAATTTTTTAAAATTATGATATATTCACTTAAGCTCACATATTCGCTTAAGCGGTTTTATATTCGCTGAGAAATTCAAATTTGGGCTCAAGTCCTGCCACTATTCGCTTAAGCCAATTCATTTTTGCTTAAGCCATTTTGTATGCCTGAAATAATGGCTCTCTGCCTCAAATTCGCTTAATATCAATTAAAATCGCTGGTCAAGGCTTAAGCGACTCTATAATAGCTTAAGCGATTTACAATCCGCTGAAGCGAAAAGGGTGGTTCAAATGCATCCCTCTCTAGTCCATTTTCACTTAGGTTTAATTTTTTTTCGCTTGGTAGGGCTTAAGCTAAATGCAAATCGCTTAAGCGAATTTAGGGACTTAAGCGAGACATGGTTCATGTGTGTTGTGGTTGGCTTGGGTGCGCTTTTAAGCCTTTTCACCATTAGCTTAAGCCTTTCTTCCCGCTTAAGCGAATGGCCCACCAATTTCGCTTAAGCGAAAAAATCCGCTTAAGCGAAAACACACTGCGCCCTGCAGTTCCTGCCAAGACTGTAGAGGATCCGGATCCAAATCATCACATGACATACTTTCAATTACTTAAGTGTATAAGGTAAAGTGTCTCACTCAAATGCACAACATGAAGCATGATCAACCATAAGCTTGCCCATTGCCTACTTCTTCACTAGAATTCACATATACACACAAAAATCAAGAGAACTTTGCTAGGTTATAAAAAGGAGGTAAGGTGAAGGTGAAAAAATTACAAAGGTAAACAAGCTAAAACTAAAGAGGATATAAGAATAATGAGAAATAAATTTAAAGAAAATAAGTATGAAAGGATTACTTTTGCTAGCTATCAAATGCTTCTTTTCCTTTTTACTACTTACTTTTCTTTTTCTTTCTTTTTCTCTCTCTCTCTTTTTTTTTTAACTTTTTTTTTACTCTCCTCTTATTTTTTTTATTTACTGATTTTTTTATTTTTTACTTTTTACATTTTCTAAGAGAATCTCTTCCACACTTATTTTTATGATCATTCCTAAAATAATTCTAAAGTTCTTGTATCCCCTTAAGTTAGGTCATGTTATTGTACCCAATAACTCACCCGACACAAAAACATTTGTTTCATGTTCCCAACGTGAGGAGGACCCCTCTCTTTCTCGTATATACTCTGCCTTTTTTTCTCTCTGCAAAATCTACTCCGCAACATGTTCACCAAAAATGTGGGTTTCTTATTGATTGCATTATTGGAATTCTGGGTTTTAAAATAAATTATGGGCACCCTTTTGCGGTGTTTATTATGGATTATGTTTTAATAGAAGGTATGATCAAACTGTGAATTTTGCGAGTTTAGGCTTTACATAGTTTCTACACAATTACATACATCAGAGAAGCGATTGAAGAATGGGAATAAAACAACAAAATTTAATTTTACACTGACTAGATGTAAAGGGAAATACGGTTGCAGAGCTACAAACTCAAGTTCATGCCGTTTAGATGTAGACATATTACATTATTAAGGATCCCCAGGCTGAAATGTGAAACCAGTGTGGTCTAAAACCATGTGGTTCCAGTCACTTATTTTGCAACACAAATGCATTTTTCTCATAAATTATTAGGTTTTGACAGATGACATGAGTGGCTGGAACCACATGGTGCCAGACCACAATAATTTTTCCAGTGTCCTAACATGCTTAACCACAAAACAAATCTCCTGTCCTGTATACATGGATTGGTGTCTCATAAGATTCATCGTTGCTTCAAGCTTCTGGGTTTAAGGATCGTTCAATTTCTTCTAAAGAGCGCCCCTTAGTTTCTACTAAGAAGTAATAGGCAAATGCAGCAGCTAACAAGGAAACTGCTCCAAAGATGGCATATACGGGTGCAACTCCAAATTTTTCGACTAACTCAAGGAAGAATAATCCAACCACAAAATTGCAAACCTGGATATAAAGGACAATAATTAAAATTTGTAACCAGGAAAGTTCCAGCACAAGTAGTTAACTAAAAAGTGACATGAAAGAGAGCTTCCAATAGAGGAAAAAGCATTCAATGCCCACCCAATGGGTAGAAAAACTGAACCCCATGATCTTCCCTCGTGTTCTGGTGCTGCTAAGCTCTGGTATGATGATGCCAGTTACCGGGCCAGCTCCAACTGCGAAAGAGAATATATACCTGTAAAATTGTACAAAGGGAAAATACGCATTATACATGTGCCAATTTTCCAGAGAATATAGAATACTGGAAACTATCTCAGAAGTCAGAACATCCTCAAGTTATTATCTATGCTCTTGTTAATAAATAATGAAGGAATTAGAAATAATAACATCCTAAAAGTAAATATATTGATGAAAGCTTTGGCGACATTGTTGAATTTGAAATAAGAAAAAAAAAAAAACAAGATATTCCAATGCCAAGCAGGTTAGTTAATTGCATACTGCCACGGCAGTGTGCGTTGTGTGAGGTGGCAGCTACAGGACCATATTGTTGAGTTTTTCTGTTTGATTTCTGATTCATAACCTACCAATCAGTCTTTGTTGAATGTGTTTTTGGTGCTCTGATCACTATTGTTTTTCTCATTGCATAGACTTCTCTTTTTATTATTATTAATTATGATGCATTTAACTTTGGGTGATTTTTTTTTTTTTGGAGTATTTATGTGTTATATAAAATTATTTATCTTATACTGTAGTCTTTGGTACAGCAGCCATCCCTCCCTCTAAAGCATTTTTGGGGTTGACTTTGCTACCCTTCGGTTTAGGATTAATAACCAGGTGTTAAATATGTATGTTAATTAGAAAAATTAGTATCTTTGTAATTATGGTAATTAGATAACTATATATTTTATAATCATTGCTGATATTATTATTAGCAATATAAATATTTAGTCCGTTGTGTAGTTGAGACACGAATTCAATCAATACTCTCTCTCTTTCCTCTCTCTTAACATGGTATCTTGAACCTAGCAAAAAGGTAATCTTAAATTCGTGCATACTTGGTGTGGGCTAACTTCCCATTGGTGATTTTTTTTTTTTTTTTTCTAGAAATGATGCTTCAGTTGTGATTTCCGGTCTTCCCCCCAAACAAGATCATCATCCATTGTCAGCAACCATCTTTCTCTAATGGCTAAAATGACTTATGTTTGTTTATTCTTATCCATGGCTACCATACACCATTGGCCTCTATATCAACTTGACATGAAGAATGTTTTTCATAGTGGTCTTAATGAGAAAATTCATATGAAACAACCTCTCGGATTTGTTACTCAAGGGATTGTTTAGGATTAGTTTGTCATCTACGAACATTCTTGTATGGCCTTAAACAATCTTCAAGAGCAAGGCTTGGTAGATTTACCTCTATTGTCCAATTGTTTGAGATGTCTCAAAGTGAAGTTGATAATTCAATTTTTTATTGACATTCAACCATAGCATGCATTTATTTAATTGTTTATATTAACAACATTGTTATTATTGGCAGTGATCACCATAGCATTACACAATGGAAGAACAATCTATGTAACCAATTTTAGACAATAGATCTTTGTAGACTTCAATACTTCTTGAGAATAAAGGTGGTGTAATCTAACAACAATGTTGTAATTTCCCAGAGAAAGTATGCATTGGATATATTAAAAGAAACAAGTTTGGTAAGTGCTAGATCTATGGATACTCCTATGGATCTATAGAGAGAAAGTGTATGAATGTTGTGTGTCACATATAGGGTACAATAGAATCAATCATAAATACAAAAGAATAAAAATAATTCTCTAATTTACAGTTACTTATAACGGGATATCTAATCATATCCCTTGTTTTGTGATATTTTTTGTTAATAGATCCTAATTCCAAACTTATAAATACAATAGAATAAAAATAATTCTCTAATTTACAGTGATTTATAACTGAATATCTAATCATATCCCTTATTTTGTGATTTTTTTGTTAATAGATCCTAATTCCAAACTTTTGCCAAGTAAAGAGGAGCATCTTTTTGATCCTGGAAGGTAAAGGAGATTGGTGGAAAAGCTAAACTATTTCATTGTTACTCGTCTAAACATCTTTTTTAATGTCAATTTGGTAAGTCAATTCCTTAACTCACCTTGTGAAGAATATTGGGATGCTTTGATTCACATCTTAAAATATATCAAAAGAGTCCAGGAAAAGGTCTCTTGTATAAAAACAATGGTCACGCTCAAATGGCAGGGTACTCTGATGCAGGTTATGCATGTTCTTATGACAGGAAATCTATTTCTAACTACTGTGTTCTAATTAGAGGTAAAATAATTTTTTAGAAGAGTAAAAAGCAAAATGTGATTTCTCTTTTTAGTGTAGAAGCAAAATATTGACCCATGGTCTCACCCACATATGTACTTATTTGGCTAAAACAACTTAAAAATATGAGATTTGAAGAGGTCACACAAATGAAACTTATTTGTGATAATCAAATAGCCTTGCATATTGCCTTAAATCCGATTTTCCCATAAAGAACGAATCACATTAAGATAGATTGTTCATTTGTGAGAAGATCCTACTTTGGAGTCATCATCATAAGTTTCGTGATTGGCAAATGTACTCAAAGTCTTTAAGAGGTCCACCTATTAAGTAAATATATAACAAACTTGGTGCATATGATTTATATACTCCAGCTTCAGGGAGAGTGTTAAATAAGAGTAAAATGTTAACCAGGGAAATTAGTATCTTTGTAATTATGATAATTAGGCAACTGTATATTTTGTAATCATTGTTGATATTATTATTATTAATATAAATATTCACTCTTTTATGTAGTTGAAATACACGGATTCCATCAATGCTCTTTCGATTTCTTCTCTCTTAACACTATGGTTCCAAATTCAATCATAACAGAAGCCATTCATAGAATTATGCTAATGGCACAGCTATCATGCAGAGCCAATTAGATGCAAATTAACTATTCAAAGTCAAACCATATCTATTTAACCAAGTCCAGTAAAATTTTAAACACCACTTTCTTCAAACAAATGATAGCCAAGCTAATGAACACATTCAGAAATAAGAATTTGGGGAGAGTGAGAAAAGCATGTCAATCTCAACAAGCATTTAGTAATTGTCACCTATGTTTCAATTGGAGATGAAAAAGCTAGGTTGCTGTCACAGAAGGCACATGGCACTAGATTCTCAGCACCAGCAAATAAATGCTTACATTATAGTTCCCAGTATTGATAAGTTGTTGCTGAGTTGCTCATCCAATGGAAAGATGACAGCATAGACCACGAGAAACATTGAAATTGCCTACAAAGAAACAGAATCAAAAGTCATCAGTAATAATATAGTGAGAAAAGGCTACTTAACTAGCAACAAGATCTAAATGAAGTCAGTGTACGCCTGTTCATGCATGATAGAAACTTTAAGTATGCTTACATTATTTATTATGCACACAATCTTTGTCTATTACAGATTAGGAGCATGAATTAGTCCAGGAAGGGGAATATACACTGCGTAAAAGTGAAATAACAGAAAAATAGAGAACAGAGAAATAGAAAAACAACTGTCTCCTTTCCTCGTATCATTTTATTACCTCTAAGACAGTCCCCCGCTCTTTCTGATGCACAATCAAAGATTTTTTTGGGTCAAATATTGTATATATATATATGTGTGTGTGTAAAACAAGATCTTCTCATACTAGTGTAAATCTAAAAACTCTTACACTCAATTTGAACTTTTCACTTATTGTATTAGAACCAACTCTTTTTTACTCACGCTGTAGTATGGCCAGTAATGACAACATGTACTCTTCCCCTCCTAGCAAATTACTTCTTACTACTCTGCCAGATGTTGCTCATGTAAGTTCTTTGCTTCTCCAAGATGAAGCCCAAAGGACACATACATCCCCCATTGCCTTCTGAATGAATTGCCCTCCAAACCCACCCAGCACATGTTTCTGCAGATTACACTTCTCATGCTTTTTTAGCAAAATCAACACCTTCTCACAATTGTCCCCGATGCACACATTGTGGCACCCTTTGCCACACTGAAAACAAGTCCTATAAACATCATGGATATCCACTAGCACATCATTATTACTGCAAGGGTAACACTCATGAGCAGTCTTCCACATCATCCACCTGTGTTGCTCCTCATTCCAACAGTGTGGCAGAAGACCCCTTATCAACATAATCCTTACATCATCATCTTCAGCTATTGTGGGAGGGAAACAGGCCCAAAGCCAATCTCACAGGTATCTCTTTATTCTACCCTTTACATGCCTAATCAATGGGTCATTGCTACTAGCGCCAAAGATCATGTTTCTTTCACTCTTTCCTCCTTTCTTCAGTAACCCCTTCCTTTCCTTCTTCTCTCCACACAACTATTTGTGTACCTAATGGTAATTCAGTTCCTATTCATGACATTGGTACTGTACCACTTACATCACACTGATAGAACTGGACCAAAGAGATTAGAACAGAAGAAAAAGAAAAGAAAAGAGACAAAATCCAAGAAAGAATCATATGTATTATTAAGAAATGACTCTTGCTGAGGAATTGATACCCCTACACTAGTGTAGAATGCTTTACAACAAATCCTGTCCCTATTAGGTATTCGAGAGCCTGATCTCTCCTAGTATAATCCAAGTGATTAACTAAGATGTCTCCCACTTCCCTCTCTTTCTCCTATTTACTCTCCACTTGTGACAGTCGGTTAGTTATCAGTTATTCTATCAGTTATTCTGTTGCTGATCTGGGGCTGGCCCACCTTTCTTTTTCCTTACATACACCTTCCTAATTAGAAGTCTAACACACACACATCATTCTTATAGATGTATTATTTGTCTCCTCATTCAAATTCAATATTTTATCAGTGTCAAAGCTCACCCAATCTTTGAACTGTATTGTCCTTTTTTATCCTAATCATTGTGTATTTTAGGACCATTTGACAAAGAAGGAGGTTGGTCGAGGCCATGAAAAGGATGGACTTTTACTTCCTTCGATGCATCTACCACTGCAGTTGCCCTTCTTGGCATGCTTGATTTGGCCATCCTTCACCAAATGCCCTGAAATATTTAGCTCTTGTTCTTGGTTTTAACAAAGACTCATGTGACCATTGTGAAATCTATCATTTGTCTAAACAAACAAGACATTCTTTTCCTTTGCGTATGTCCACTACTAACTCTTTGTTTGATTTAATTCATGCTGATATTTGGAGAAAATATGCTACACCTACTTAAAATGGTCATTGTTAGATTATTGTTGACAACTTTTCTCGAGTTACATGGAATTATCTCATGTACAAATTGGATGCATATTCTTTGTCAATCCATTTCTTGACTAATGTTCACAATCAATTTAATACATGTGTCAAAAATCTATCCAATCTTATAATGGTACTGAATTCACCAACCATTCCTATTAGAAACTACTTCCTCTGGCATTCTACAACAATTTTCTTGTCCTGGCAGTCCCCAACAAAATGGCATTGTCAAACGTAAACACCTCCATCTTCTTAATGTTGCAAGATGTTTTCAACCTGGTCTTCCAATTTCTTTTGGGGAGATAGCATCCTCACTGCCATTCATTTAATCAACTGCACCGGATTTCATGGCCTCTCACCCAATTTCATTCACCTATGTACATTTGATTGCTTATGTTGCACATCTACTTCTCATGGTGTTAGCGTTAAGAGACAAAATTCAGGAAGAATTAAAGAAGGAAAAGAACTTTTATTAATTACTTGAAGAACTAGGATTACAAAAATTCCCCCAAAGCGACAGCTCCTCCCAGAGAATGAAATTCTCCCTTCTCTTATTCAAAAGCCAAAATCTAATAACCAAAACTGACTGCTTAAATAAAGAATAGTTAAACTTATCTAATCCTTATCTCTTGAAACAAACAAAATGTTAGACCACAGGATACAAATAGAACATTAAAAGTGTATTATAGGAAGAAGGGTAAAAATAGAAATTGAAACTATTCTATCCTTTGACCTATTAGTTAGGTTTTTGGTAGTAGTTAGTTAATTGGTTAATTTGTTTTACATCAGTTTGGTATAAATAAGTCCTTTGTTAGGTAGGAGTAGATAGAAATTGAGTAAATAGAAAAAACTGAACAGATTCCAGTGTGAAAGGAGTAGCCTCCTTTGTGTAATCTTTTTTTTATAATCAATAAACTTCAAGGACGAATAATGCCCTTTTCCCCTCTGACATTTCCGAGAACCTAACACAAAAGCTAATCCTTATCTCTTCTAACAAACTATCCCAACTCATCTTGTTCAAAATCCTAACTAACTTCCTATTAAGCCTTTTAAGCCCTTTTTACTAATTATTGGCTTTCTTCTTATGGGAATTAACCCGCCAAACAATACCCTTCATCGGACTTGTATCAAAGAGGCCTTCATTGCAGGTTTTGGTCCCATCAATACCACCCCTTGAACTTTCACTCTTACCCTCAAGAGTGAGTGAAGGAAACTGACTCTTGATGACCAATGCCTCTTCCCAAGTAGCTTCCTCAGCAATGAACACCTATTTCTGCCGTTGACCACCTTGGGTAACAACTCGAGTAGCCAGAACAGCTTTTGGCTCCGCAACTTCTGCTGTTATTAACTCCTTTGGTAAGGTGGCAGACACAATCTTTTGTCCTATGACCTTATTAAGCTGCGAAATGTGGAAAACCGGATGGACCTTTAAAGACGCTGGGAGAGAGCATGTAGGATACTTCTCCTACATGCTGCAAAATCTGGAAGGGCCCGAAATACCTTGTGGAGAGCTTTTGATTGATCCTATGGATCATAGATTGTTGCCTATGGGGCCTCAATTTGAGGAAAACCCACTCCCCAACTTCTAGCTTCATCCCCCTCCAGTGGCTGTCTGCAAAAAACTTCATATGCTGCTGGGCCCATTCTAAATGGAAGCGCAATTGTCGTAAGGCCTTGTCTCGGTCTCGTAGATCACATGCCATGGTCTCAACCCGCACCTATCCTTCAATCAGTCTAGGAACCACCGAAGGCTTCCTCCCATATACTACTTCGAAAGAAGTGGTCCCAACTGATGAGTGATAAGTTATGTTATACCATAGTTTAGCCCAAGGGACCTAATAGGTCCAATTTTTGGGCTATTCCAATGCAAAACAGCAGAGATATGTTTTCAAACATCAGTTTACTACCTTGGTTTGTCCGTCCGTTTGTAGGTAGTAAGTTAAACTCATACGCAGCTGTGTTCCTTGCAACGCAAATAGCTCTTTCCAAATAGTGCTCACAAATATTGGATCACGGTCCCTACATATTGATGCCGGCAGCCCATCTAGTCGAACCACCACTACGAAAAAGATTTCAGCTACCCTTCTAGCCGTGTATGATCCACACAACCAGTACTGCATCAGCACCCAATGACCGAGGTAATCCGACTACAAAAGCAAGGAAATGCCCTCCCACACTTGAGAGGAAATTGGGAGGGGTTAGAGTAATCTGCTAGGAGTTGCAGCCTCATACTTATTTCTTTGACAAATCTCACATTCATGGACAAATTTCTGCACACACTTCTTCATACCGACACAACAAAGATTTGTTGTTAAGCTCAAAATTCATGCAGCAGTTGGGAAATCAAGGAAGAAGAAGCTGGAATTACCAAACCCCTTTTGTATTTCAAGACTCCTCCTACCAATGAGTGCCTGGGTTTGGCATCCGGATCCCCCTTCAAAGCAATGACAACTTGCTGCAGATGAGAGTCCTGTAAAATCTTGTCTTGCAAATCTTGTTGCTGCTCCCATACTGGAAAAGACGCAATTGTAGTAAGTTCCCCATCTTCAAGCCGCCTTGACAATGCATTCGCAGCCTTGTTGGTGGATCCTGGTTTATAAATGATTTCGAAATGGTAGCCCATCAATTTTGTAAGGCAGCACTGTTGATCGGCTGAAACTACATGTTGTTGTAGGATATATTTAAGACTCTTTTGGTTTGTAAGCACAAGGAATTCCCTCCCTAATAGATAGTGCCTCCAGTGTTGGATAGCAAGGACAATTGCCATCAACTCATTTTCGTAAACCAACTTGGACAAATTTAATGCAATAGAGATTTACTAAAGAAAGCAATGGGCTTCTACTGTTGCATCAACATTGCTCCAATTCCTCTACCTGAAGCGTCACATTCTACTTCGAATTTTTCCTCAAAGTTTGGCAAGGTTAAAATAGGGGCTGCGGTGATAGCGGTCTTTAGGTCTTGAAAAGCCTTCTCGGCCTCAGTTTCCCATCTAAAGCCATCTTTGCAGGTCAACTTTGTTAAGGGCCTTGCCATATGCCCGTAATTCCAGATGAACTTATAATAGTATCCCAAAGTCCCAAGAAACTGTGTACCCCTTTAACACTCCAAGGGATAGGCCAATCTAAGACACTTCGGACCTTGCAAGGATTAACACGCACCCCTATAGCCGACACGTGGCCCAAATACTCAACCTGCGTCCTTTCAAAGCAACATTTCTTCCTATCAGTGACAAACTGATTAGCCTGCAAGGTCTAAAGGACCAAGGTCAGATGCTTCAAGTGTGAGTTCTAGTCCTTACTATACACCAATACATCGTCAAAGAATATCAAAATGAACTTTCACAGAAATGGCCTACAGATCAAGTTCATTGTTGACTAGAACATAGTAAGAGCGTTCATCTCGCACATGGTTTGCTACCTCTTCCCAAGCCTTGCTTAAGGCTGGCTTTACTCAATCCAAAGCTGACTATTCCATTTTCACATTTACTCATGACTCATCACCATTTTCCTTCTTTATATTGATGATATTGTAATTACAAGAGATGATTTGCTAGTTGTTCCACTTCTCAAGCAATATCTTTCTAACCAGTTCCACATCAAAGATTTAGGACCATTAAAATATTTCTTGGGTATCGGACTGGCATGCTCACAGGCTGGCATTTTCTTAATCAACGAAAATATGCACTAGAAATTCTTCAAGACAATGGCCAGTAAACCAGCTAAAACCCCATTGGATTACAATGACATCTTGGCTGCTGATGTTGGTAATCTTTTACCTAATCCTGCTTCAAATAGACTACTACTTGCTAGACTTCTATACCTTGCAGTCACCCATTTGGACATCACTTATGCAGTAAACTTATTGTCAAAATTTATGTCCTCTCTTCATGACACACATTGGGAGGCTGCACTTAGAGTGGTGAGATACTTCAAATCTGCCCTTGATTATGGTACCTACTCTCACTGCACAATTATGCTTGCATGCTTACTGTGATGCAGATTGGGCTTCTTGCCCCACGTCTAGAAATCAACCTTTAGTAAACGTATTTATTTTTGGGGTCCAAGTCTTCTTTCTAGGTAAAACAAGAAGCAATCCACTGTTTTGTGCCCCTCAACCAAAGCCAAAGGTCAAACTATGGCTAGTATTGTTAGTGAACTCACATACCACACACTCTTCTCTATGAGTTAGGTCTTCCATCACATCCTGCAATGTTATATTGTGACAATCTAGCTGCCCTCAATATAGCAAACACTCCCGTTTTTCATAAAAGACAAAACACGTTTGTTAAGAAACTTGAGCCTAACTCACTCCTAAAAGCTAGCTCATAGGAGAAAGATTGCCCTAACTCTTATAAGAAGTATTCTGGTTCTATTCCTAACTAATGTGGAACATCTTAACACACTCCCTTTATGCCCAGGACTGGACATCTGGTGTGTGAAATTTGCAGGACTGAACACCTGCATGGATGGACCCAACAAGACTAGACATCTGTGGGTAGTTCAATGTTCAAATTGAATAGGCTCTGATATCATGTTAAGAAATTTGGGCCTAACTCACTCCCAAAAGCTAGCTCATAGGAGGAGGACTACCCTAACCCTTATAAGAAGTATTCTATAGTTCTATTCCTAACCAATGTGGGACATCTTAACAATGTTGAAATTGATTGTCATTTCATTCAGGATATTCAAGGTCAACTTCAAACAACTTTTGTTCCCTCCCACCAACAACTAGCAGATGTCTTCACCAAAGCCCTTCTTCCAACTTCACACACGCAAAGATATGATATCACTGTAATATTATCTTGTATCTTTGTCAAATATTGTATATAGATTAATTTAGGATACTTACCTAGGATAGAAAATACTTGCCTAGTTTCTAGAGATTTAATCTCCCGGCATTATGTAATTGACCAAATCCCACTTGTATATATATATATATATATATATATATATTATGATTGAATAGAACACAGCCAAATATTTTTGCTTTTTTTTCATGCCTTTTTTTTCTCTCCTATTCATCAATATTCACTAGTTAGTTATGCTTTTCAGTATGAATATTCCCTTAGTTTCCCATTCTATCCAACCGAGTCACGCACTAGTGTTGATCCTCTATTTCCCATCCCCTTCCTACATGCACATTAGTAATAGGGATCTATCCACATTCACTTGGTGATGACTGGATGTCTTTTTCTGACATATAATTTACCTAGCATGAAGTTATGAACATGTACACACTCACCATTCCTAAGTAGCTTCCTACAAGAAGTTTCTGTCTCCCTTCCCTGTCGATTAAGTATAAAGCACAAAGTGCACCTGAAGAAGGACAACAGATTAGAACAATCTGAATCAAATTCCTAGAAGAAATTTAGAGATAAAATGAAAAGTAGTGCAGACTGCAAACCTGTAAAGTTAGTAAGCCCAACAAACAAGCTTGCTAAAGCACTGCTTTCAACACCAACATCTTGAAAGGTCAGTGATGAAAAATAAAGAACCCCATTTATGCCTGCAAACTGCTGAAGTACAAAAAGAGTACCTCCAATAAAGGCAGCTGCAATCATACAAGAAAATCCACTATGAGTTTTATACTTAAAGTTGCATGTGCAAGTAATTATTATAAATTACATGTTTATCAAAGAAGTTCTATTTTATGGAGCTAAATTCATTCCCTTATCCAGCTGAAACTATTACTTTAATGTACTTGTATTTTTCTCCTGACCTGGTAATTAATCAATTAGGATGGGAAAATAATAGTTTTCCATGCACAGAATGCTGTCTATTGTAAGAAACAGCCAAAACCACCTTGACACAACCTCTAGAATGTGGTTCCTCCAAGATCTCTGACCATCTGCTGTCCAAATCACTACCATCATTCTTGCTGACAGACTGAAATTCTTTAATTGCACTATCAACTTCAGCTTCTCCCCAAAGCTCACTTACTACTTTTTTAGCATCATTTATTCTCCCAGCCTGAGCAGAAATATTAAAGCTTCACGAACAGTGGAAAAGCTTAAAATTATCAATTAAGTAATCAATAAACTCCTACCTTGCAAAGCCAGCGCGGACTATCAACAGCAAACTGCATACCAAGTGCAACAAGAAAACCTGGGATGCTTGCAATATACAGCATTGTCCTCCACCTGAAATATGTATTTGTTGGTTCCAAGTAGGCATTATTCAGAAAGCAATTTTCTGTTTTCAAACACTATAAACATACAATTGAAGGAAGAATGGATATCACTTTATGATTTGAGTGCAAGTTTGACTTCAGTTAAGCTTAGAAAGGTGTGTTCCTGTTACATTAAGGGTCTGTTTGGCATATAGAATTGGAATTAGTTCAGAATCATAATTTCTATGAGTGGGTTATGCAAAGAACTAGAGCATAAATTATAATTTAAAGATGAATACAAATTCTATTTTGACACCTCTAATAATTAGAGGCAGTCATGGCTATGGTTACATTGGATGTGAGTAAAAAAATTTAATGCACATGATAGTGACAACGGTTGGGTAAAGAGATGGTGACAGCAGGTGAAATAGGTGAAGAAGTGATGGTGGTGGTGGTGACAATGCCGGTGACGAGTGTAAAGGTGATTGGTGGTGGAGGTGGCCTTGGAAATTGGTGGTGAAAGGGGGGGGTTTGATATCGGAAGAGGTGACAACAAGAATAGTGGTTGTGAGATGAGGACATGGTGGCACAGTAGTGGGTGGTGGTGAGGCTGTGGCAGCAGTAGTGGTGGTGAAAGCAGCAATCAGTGGTAGTGATGGTAGAAACAATGGTGGTGGTAGCAATTGTTGCAATGGTGGTAAGAGTAGCAGAGGTGGAAGCAGTGGCCACAACAATGGTAGTGGCATTGGTAGTAGTGGCAAAACTAGAGAGCAGATATACTCAATGTTGGTGAGGTTAGGAATTGTAATTTAGTGGATACAGATTAGAAATTGAGAAATGCTAGTTTAGTTATACTAGAATTTCATGGAATTCCGCCTTAAAATTGTGATCCAATTCTAAAAGGATTTATAAATGTCATTATTAGAATTCCAAGTATTAATTACAATTTCAAAACCCAATTCCATGTGTCAAACAGAAGTTGGCATGGGCATGCGAAGCTCTTTGCATGGCTGTGCACAATGCTTTGGGCCCCTACATGAATCAAGTCTAATCATTTTCTATAAATAGGAAGCCAAGTTAGTCATTAGACACATCATTCTTATGACCTGTTTTACTTACAGTTCTAGTTTTCTCTTTTGCCGCGCTTCTCTTTCTCCCAATGTACTTCGAGGCACACCCTTAGATCTAGTTCATTTTTGCAACATGGATTGGAGTTGATTGATGTTTGATCAACATTGCTTTTATTTCCGGTTCCTGCTTTTCTTTTCTTTTACTCTTTTAATTGATTCAATGTTTTGGTTTAAAGTATGGATGGAAAACCCTAGCGAATGTGAATTTTCTGATCATTTTATGTTCTTATAGTGAATGTTTCTCTTTTTTCAATTATGTTTATCCTATTGGCTCATTTGGTGTGGATGGATTAAATCATATGCATATTATCTAATTTGTGAAAGAAGAGCAAAGGAACTACTCTTAACCAACGGATAGATAGATAAAGAGAATCATGAGTTTTAGACGGTCAATCTAGAATCTTGGATTTTCAATCAGTTATTGGGTTAAGAAACCCATTGAATCTTAATGCTTTTTTATATCTATATTTGACATGATCATTGGAGATAAAGCCTTTAGGAAAATATTAAGAATATTGCATGATCATTAGGTATTGATGGAATCAAAATAGGTGATTGATAATTAGTTAAAGAATTATAAAAACCATAAAAGAGGTAAGATAAGAACAAGGTAAAACCACCTAGTTATAAACCCTAGTTCTAATAAATCTAAATTTGTATTTATATAAGTGCTAGAGTCTACAGGATTCTTTCTCCACTTCTCTTTCTTTTTCTTCTCCTTCTCTTACACTCTTGCTTGCACAACAATCCTTACTAATTAGGGATCAATAGTCTTTGTGGGACAATAAATCAAGGTCTTAAATGCCCCATTTATTACTCATCAATGGTACGTTTACCCATTGTTGCGAAACACAAACAACACGTTTTTAGAATTTGCAAAACAAGTCTGCAAGTTTGTGGCCGGACATTATATCCTAGAAGTCCAATTTGAGATGACAGAAAATATGAGCATAAGCTACATTCTTGGCTCTTACATTTTAACACTAATCCATGAAAATTTAACAAAGCAGAGAAAAGACACACATATGACACAATACAAATACAAAAAAATCATTCTTGAAAAGAAAAATAGAAACAATACTGCAAATATATGAATAAATTACTAAAACAATATATATTTACACACATTAAAACAGGACAAAAGAAAAGATTATCCCAGAAAATTAATTGCAGTGTTTAAACTAGTCATTAAAGAACATTCACACAAGCAAAGTCATAATACAAATAGTTAAAAGCCTTCAGTCAATAGAAGTGACAAGGTTCTCACACCAATAGACAATTTGAGTGGAAAAGCTCAAGAAACCTAAAACTTATTCATCCAAAAACACCTGCCATCCTTGTTTAACATACACCATATCTTCCAAATTTCCAAGTAAAACCATATGTTTACATTAGACAACCACACAAACACAAGTGAAAATTGTAAGTTAAATACCGATTCCATGAATCTACAAGGAAGAAAATACAAAGAAACTCACCAATGTGGATCATTCTCAGCAGCTATTCCAAGAAATAGTGAAGCAATAATGCCAAGACAAGTGCCAATTTGACATAAGGACCCTAAGGCACCCCTATATTTTGTTGGAGCTACCTATACCACATATGTTAGCAAAGATACACGAGTGAGAAGGACTTGCTATGGCTGTCTTAAAATGTCTTTCCTCCACAGTCCATGCACACGCACACACACATATATATAAATAGTAACTATATCATGTTTGAACTACTTTCTTTTGAAGTATGAATACTTCTACATGGAAGGGGCCCTTTAAGTATATCATGTTTTATTTCCATTAGAACCAATAAATAAACACCACTTATCAAAAACATCACATGGATTTGGTATATGGTGTAGAGTTTAGACCATAGAGGTCAGCTAAGTCAACCCTGTACTGTTGGAGATATGAGAAAACAATTCTGCTAAAAGCTAAAGTTGATATCAACATGTACCTCAGATATATATATTGGAACAAGAACAGTATTCACACCTATACCAAGCCCAACAAGAAACCTTCCACCAATTATCTCGTTTAAGGAGTGGGCTTGTGCACTGTCACAAATAGAACAGGTATGTTAACAATATCTGCTCACAAAACAACTATAATTTCAAATCAAAATGCTTGCAATATGTGGACAATATATATTGATGATCAAGAAAATGGAAAAGCCAATAATTTTAAAACCATAATTGAGCACATTGAATAGGTCAAAGTCAAATCCTATTAAAAAAAAAAGTAATTCTTTGAAGATTGGAGATTTCATGGAAGGTAAAAACAAGAAAAACTAATGATTTTAAAAGAAATGCAAATGAATTAGTAGTCAAAATCATATTATGAGAAGCTTTTGCTATCTAGAAACTTTACTCAGATAGTTATGGGATAAACAGCATGTTTGGTTATACATTTTTAGGAGAATGAATGTGCATTTACGCATGGATGACATGGAACTAGACATGTACTTTGTCAGTTAGGAGGTTTCATTTTCAAAATCTACACATGAAAGCTAGACAAGATTCACAAGAAGAATAAGATGCTATCGATACACTACCTTATTATTGCCCCAAGGATCAAGGGTATGCTGTCAATTTGAAATGTGAGCCGACAACCAAGTTTATCTACCAAAGAACCGGTGCTTATGCTCCCAATAAATGCACCAGCAATAAATATGCTGACCACGAGTCCCTCAACGAATGAGTTTCCCTCAAAACCAAGCTCTCGGGCAATGGAAACAATAGGACCATTCATGACCCTGCAAAATATGCAATCCAGTTGCAAATAGTTCACAAGAGACTATAAAAAAACCAAATCATCATGTTTTAAAAGTTGATCAAGTTGTACTCAATTAATCATATAAAAGAATCACACATAATTCCTTCAGTATAATCTGTCAATACTAATCATCATTTTTTGCTTTATGAAATGGAATACCATCCTGGCTTTTACTTTCGCAAGCTCAATGAAACACATTCAACAACTTTATTAACTTCAACTATAATTATTGAACTGTTTAATTCTAATCCTCTGTCAATGGAAACTTTTGCATCACCAAATCAACTCCTGCCACATCACAAAGAATTTGATCTTTCATCACCATTAATTACAATCACAAACCACATGACATGATACTGCCGAAACCACATTAGACCCTGATTATAGTAAACTAAATTCAAAAAATTAAGATCATGTACTTCAGTACAGTAAAACATCAAACTTGTCTGTATCTTTAAAGTAGCTTCTGAAAATTTAAAATAAAATAATAAAAATATTAATGTTGATAATTATATCTCAAAGATATAAATCACATAAGAAAATTCAACACTAATAGATCATGTGAGAAAATAGAGAGTTTTTGTAAAATTAAAAATTCGAAACATTGTAATAAATTACAAAGATTGAAAGATGTAGAATTGAAAATTTTATAATTATTATTTTTTACAACTTTAATATATATATATATATACGTGTCTTTTTGAATAATTTTTTTCTATTTTTAGATATTAAAATAAGCCTGCTGAATTAAAAAAACTCATTTATTTAATTAATATCTATTGTTACTAAAATCCTTAAATAAAACTTCCGGCATCTAAAATAGAGGAGTATTGAATAATCTATTTAATATATAGTTTTTATTAATATACTAAAATTTATTAGAATTAAAAAAATACGAATAAAAAATTTATTAAATTAAAAATAATTTTTTTCATTTTTAATTAATTTTAAAGAACGTGTCTAAAAAAGGTGTATTTATATTTAAAGGAAAGAGCCCGTCACAAATTCATCAAAGAATTTTATCTTCAGTCGAACCTCACTTCCCCATCAAAGAAAATGCCACGTGGCACAAAGAAAAATTTCAAAACATGGAGAGAGAGAGAGAACAAAGAAAGAAGAAAATGGCATGGAAAGAGAAACTGACCCAATGTGATACCCAAAAATGAAATTGGAAATTGAAGCAACAAAAACGTGAGGAAAAGCACGCAACCATCCCGAATCAAAATCTCCGCCTCCGCCGCCGTTTTGACGCAGCGAAACATTCTCTATTCGTTCGTCATCGCCATCGTTGTGAGTCTGTGACTCGGGAAGCTCGTTCTCGAGGGCTGAAACTTTGAGCTTAGAAAGGCGAAAGGAGCATTTGAGTGGTTTTGGCTTCGTTTTGGCTTTGGAGAAGGAAACGAGTTTGGGAATGGGGTCATGAGCAGAGACGATCGCTGCTGAGACAAACCGAATCGAATTCATTCTTCCAAATTGAAAAATAATTGGGGAAAGGATACACTCTTTTATTTCTAATAATAAAAATAATGGATACTGCGTCTATCTATGCCAATGGAACTCAGTCATTATTGATGATTTTTTATTTTTTTTTTGTCCACCGGGTTAGCCCAACCGACTCATTTAGATTGCCCTGTTGAAACTATGAACTTTAGTGAGCAGACTTAACTACGTTTGGATTTTTATAAAAGATATGTTTAAAATAAGTAAAGTTTGTTTTTATTTTTCTAATTTTTAAGGTTTAGTCTGCATCATAGGTTTAAAATGTTTAAATTTAACATTTAAAACTTAGTCCTCCGTGTTAGGATTCATTTACAAGGTATAAGATTTGAGTTATATATTGGAAGTACGGAATTTTAATGTAGGATTTACAACTTTGTGTACTCTCCAACTACAATTAACTCCTTTAAAATTGTTATCAATTGGTATTTGTTTATGGTAAATTTCGCAATTAGTAAATAAATAAATTCAGATAAGCAATATGGGAATTGAATCTTATATTCTTTTCTAGGTTGTTTTAAGTTTGTTCTTAAACATATAAATGTTGTAGCAAAAGTTGTGAAACTAGAATAGAAAGTAATAGAAGCAGAATTTCAATTACTAATAGATCTTTTTTTTTTTGCAGGTGACTTGGATACTTGGCTTTGTGATAACCGGACACCGGAGGAATGGAGTATTGTTTTTGGGATGACTATCTATGAACTTTGGCAAAGGAGAAATGATTTTGTTTTTTAAGATAAGAAGCATTCTATAGAGAAAACTATATTTGTAATTAGGAATAAAGCTAAGGAGGTTTCTAGTTGTTGTGCAATGAAGACTTCGACAAGAACAATAGTTATAGATGGTAGCCACAATGGAATTAGATGGTGATGCCCACTAGAGAGATGGGTCAAGCTGAATTGTGATGGGTCTCTCTATCCTTAGACAAATCTTGCCACATGTTGAGGTGTTCTCAGAGATCAATCGGGGGTCTTCTGCTTCGCGTACGCCTTTAAACTGGGTTCTTGTTGGGTATCTTACATGGATTGGATATTGTCATAAGACAGGGTTATAATCATATTGTGATTGAAACTAACTCCCTTCTTGCTGTTAAGATCCTCGATAAAGGATGTTATCCTTGTCACCCATGTGCACCCATAGTTACAAGGATTAGACAAAAAAACACATGCTATCATCTGTGTTTGGACTCATATCTACTGTGAAGCTAACTTCGTCGCAGATGCCTTAGCTAAACATGCCCATAACATGAGTTTTGATTCTAAGATTTTTCATGTTGTCCCATATTTCCTTTACATTCCTTTGTTACCTGATTCTTCATCAACCCTTTTTTATAGGAGGATGTAGTTATTTTCCTTGTTTTGGGCTTTAGCCCCTTTCTTTCATAAAAAAAAAAAAAAAAAAAAAAAAGAAGCAGAATTACAACATGAGAGATTAAAGCAATAAAGATTACAGAAATTAACTAGAATTGAATTGAATTAAAATATTAAATGTAAATGTACAAATTTGACTATGATAAATATAGGTCCATTGATTTCTATGTCGCTGGCTCTAACTGGTGCATAGAATTTTGGCTTACTGAGATTTTGGATAGTGTGTGTAAAAATTGTAATCCTTATAACTTAAAATCTCACTACTAAAAATGTAAATTACAGACAAAAAAAGTCTACTTGTATTACAAACGGCTTTATAAAACCAAATAAATAAATAAAATTATTTTTTGGGAAGATCCATCTATAAATCCGTTTGTAAAATTTGTTAACGGCCTGCCATTTGGTGTGTAACATTATAGATAAAAATTATAGATATAGAAAAATTCAACTGTAATTTGAAACACAAAAAATATTGAGCAAGAATTATAGATGGAAAAATTCATCTATATTTTGAAACATATTTCTGATTTTTCATATAGTTTTTTATGGATGGATTTTTTTGTTTGTAATTGCATTAAACGCAATTATAGATAGAAAAATATGTTTGTAACTAAGATTTTAAAATGTTGCGTTTTATTAAAGCAGTTATACATAGAAAAATATGTTTGCAATATGTAAAATAAATGAAAATTGTGTCTTTTCTTCTTCTTCTCACTTTGCATTTTTTCCTTTCTCTTTTTGATTTTTGCCCCTCTCTCTCTACCATCTAGAGTTCTTTGCCTTTTGTGAGTGAAGCATCAATTTAGAAAATAAATTGCATCATTGTATTTCTAGTATGATACTCTAACTTTTAATTGGTTTAATTTTTTTATGTAGAATAGAGACATGATTTTTAAGAAAAATTTCTAGGACCAGAGATTGTATAACTAGAAAATGACCGTAGATGTTCTTCCCCAAACCTTATTATTGTTTGCTATAGGATTATTTGTGATTGTGGATAATGTAGAATTTGCATGTTGTGGAGTTATAAGGGGATGTGCTCTAGAACGATTTCATGATTGTGATGTATATGCTTATGATTTATTAATTAATATTTTTTTTAATATAATATATAGATATGTGTGACTTATTTTTGCATTAGGTGTTAACATACGCAAGAAAATATTTATACATTAGGAAAGATTCTGGAAAAATTTACATTAAAAATCTGTGTAATGTAAAATAAAAGATGTTCACATAGTATATGTGTTTGTGCTTGAAGAGGTGGAAGACATGATTTGCTACCAATTCCATGCTCTTAATGAAGAGCTCTAGAAGCAAAACGAGGAGATGTAGAAGAGCAAGGAGAGTACACGAAAGAAGACGTGAGCCAAGAAAATGAAGAAGATAGAGAAAAATGTGACATTAAGGGTGCAGAGGAAGGTGCAGCAGTAGATGGATGCATACTTTGAGCTTATGAGAATAAGTAGCTTCAAACATCTTCTTCCCCCTCTACCAGCTCCAACACTATTAGTATTTGGACCAATGCGACATTCATCATCCTTCTCCTCTATAGATGAGGACGACGTTACTCTTGACAATTACTCGTGATAGATATTGCTATTTTATTTTTCACGTTATAACTTTAGGTGTTTAATTCTTGAATTGTAATGACATTTTAATATTACATTTTTGAATTTTAAATTTTGATTTTCTAATTTTCATTATGTTTTAAATTATTATGATTATTAAAAATAGTGAGGAATAATTATATAAGTAAATAAAAGAAAAAAATAAATTAAAAATTACAAATGAATTTTTCTAGCTGTAAATTTGTCTGTAATTTACAAATGGATTTGAAAATCTGTTTGTATTGATTTACTGACAAGGAATATAACATCCTATATTTTATTTAATATGATAAGAAAATAATTTTAGAGTTTAGTAGGGAATATTTAGATTAAACTCGTTGCAAGTCAAATATAACGTGCGAAAATTTTGAAACATTTATATCTTCTAAATATTGTAAATGAGTCTTAATGTATTTTGATATATATTTTGCTAATATCAACCTCTTGTAAACTCTTTAGAACAATATATATATATATATATATATATCCACTAAAAGACTGAAAAAGATACTAGTCGTTCCTATGTCATCCCTTTATTGCAGCAAGGTCTTCAGAATTGAATCATCATCCAATCTGAGATAACGATCACCTAAATCCACAGTGGCCTACCTGCCAGTAATTCACTTCAAAAGTCCATCAAGTTAGTCTTCCGAGGTGATTGTAATCATGATATATGAACAGGTAAGTCACAGCTGCTGGAGTTCTAACTGTGCCTTGATAAAAGTACATACACAGGGTATGGTGGATTCTATTATTTACAAGAAAATTAAAAGGTATACTATAAAATAGTTACATTTCTAGCATAATAATGTTACGAGGTATATTATCAACATGTAAGGCCAACTTAAAATAACAAAATCTATGGTATTCATTAAATACATAATTTAATCTACACTATACAAAACTATCTATGAGCCTAATGCTCTCTCTGGGTGTTGTCATCCTGGTCCCCTGAAAGATTTATGTAAGGATGAGTCTCTATTCTTATTATCAAGCATACATTCACAATTACATCAAATAATGCAAGCAAAGGTAATACAATAATCAATCTTGTTCATATATATATGCAATGATCATTAGTTATCCAACTTATTACATTTTCTTTCTATTAACACTCAGAGTTCTCATTTCACATTTTCACTGCCCCTGGAATCCTTCAAAGTTTTCTTTAGCATAGATAATTGCTAGATAACCGTAGCTACACAGATACAACGTGTGCTAACCTGACACCTTTTAGCAAAAGCGTAATTAGGAGTTTAAGTCAGGAAATAAGTGTGAGGCATGTGGTGCTTTTATTCTCATGTGTTATGCCTAATTCAAGAAGATCATCCATTACCCTCATTTCTCTAAGATTTCTCAATCGCCTCCGTCTTCTACACTTCTAGTGTACCTCTGAACTATCAATACTTGTCCTTATCATATTCCTTCCTTTTTTCATTTCTCTTTTCATACTTTCCATCTCGTTTCTATATTTCTCATTATAGATTTACTCTTCTTATTAGTCATTATGGCCTAAACTCATTATTTACTATAACCTGAACTCATTATCTGTTTACTATAATGTTATTCATCCCTTCATTTCTCAATTTTATCCAAGTTCATTACTACATCATATATCAATCAATTATTACTAAGGGTTGGGCACCTTCAAACTCAGTCCACAACATACACGCATATACACTCAAAACAAGGATCATATACACCATCAACACCACAAAACATACTTCAAACATAACAAAAACATGTTCTCATCCAACATATACTCAAAATCATGCATTTCATCGTAACACTTTTATGAACACAAACATATCACTTTCTTAGTAACAAGATAGAGCTCTCCTTACCTTGAAATGGAAGTTTAGGAAAGGGTTTGTGAGGAATATTGTTAAAAACGTTGGATTCTTCCTAAATATCACAAGAGGTCCTATTTAGTGGAGGAAAAATGTAACACCCCAAAATTTCACCTCTTCCATGTGTGCATGTATTTATATTTAGGAACTCTCTTTCTTTGTTTTAGTTACTTATCCTTGGCGGTTGTCTCAACGTT